TTAAAGTATTAATAACTGCTTAACCATATAATGTCCTGTATTTCTAGGCAGACAAACACCCCTGGCACTTTGTCCTTACATTAAGGACACTTAATAGTTAACAATAATGGTAGCGTTAATAAAGGGACCATATGTTTATTAATGCTTAGGAATATACCGTACTTTCCAGACTATTAGTCGCACTTTTTTTCATAGTCTGGGCGGTCCTGTGACTTATACTCCGGAGCGACTTATATACCAAATTATGTAGGCTACACCATGCTGCTGCAGGCTGGCTCCGGACCAGGAATGAGCTCCCCTTCCCCGCTGGGAATAAAAAATACACAGCCATCACCTGCTGAAGCCTGTGGTGCACCATTACGCACCTGATCTGGCCCAGGAGTGAGCCATCACCTGCTGGAGACTGTGGCGTGCAGCTGCAGGCTGGATCCGGCCCAGGTTTCAGCTCACCTGCCCCGCAGGGAATAAAAAACACACAGCCATCACCTGCCGGAGCCTGTTGCGCACCATTGCACACTGGATCCGGCCCAGGTTTCAGCTTCTCTGTCCCGCCATCACCTGCTGCAGCCTGTGGCGCGCTGCTGCGGGCCGGCTCCGACCCAGGAATGAGCTCCTCTGTCCCACTGGGAGGGTTTCAAACACTGCCATCCTCTGCTGGAGACCAAGGTGCGCTGCTGCGCCAGCGTTTATTCTGTTATTGTTACCGGTACTTGTCTTGCAATGTGAAACGCTTGGTCTCAGATTTTGTAAGAAAAATAATAAACTTACCCCCCAATGCGACTTATATATGTTTTTTTTTTCTTCTTCGTTATACATTTTATGGCTGGTGCGACTTATACTCCAGAGCGACTTATAGTCCGGAAAATACAGCACTAAGTAACGTTAATAAAGGAACCCTTATTTTAAAGTGTTACCTTGTGTTGTTTTTATAATTTTTTTAAGCCTTTGGTAATGCTTCCTGTTACTGTCCCCTATTTACTAAGTACTTACATAGTAATTACATTGTAAGTTAAAGTGTATTATTGTGTAATTAAAGTGTATAATTGTATCAAAGTGTAATTATTGTGTAAAGCAGTATTTACTGGGAATGATTAATTAAAATTAAGACTAGAATTCAACCTGAGTTACATGGTAATAACTGTTTGAGAAACCAGAAACAATAATACACTTTAACTTACTATCCTAATTACTAAGTACTTACATGGTAATTAAAGACTGTAAACGGAAGCATTAACAAAGTTTTTTTTCTTAATTTAATAAACACGAGTCATGACTTAGGTTTTTATCGCTTGAGTCACAGTTCTGTTTTCACGTAAGTGCATGACAGCCAAACCAGTCAAAATGATGATGTCATAGCTCCACCTCCAACCACACATACTACCCATCTTCCCCCATTTTCTTAGAGTTTTTTTTTTGTGGCAGCGTTACAGTGCCACATACAGGCCTGGCATATTTACTACAGTGTTTTGAGTCATCTTCATGCGGGTCAAGACATTTTGGGGATATTTTTTGGACAATTGTTCTTATTTTCAGGAGAATGATGCAGGTGGACTACCAATCTCCTTAATTTGTTTGTGTCTTTTCAGCTTGCCTTCTTGGCTTTAGGCATCCAAATCACAACTTTATTTTTCTAGTTTCTAGTGGGAAACATGAAATCCTCAGCTTAATGAAACTGAACAAATTATTAAGACCAGTTGTTTTACGCTGCTTACTTTTAAATGCATTAACTGTCATTTATAGACCATATATCAATAGATTTGTTTTATTACCTCAGGTGTCCAATGCATCTGAACTTATACCTTGCTGTAAGATGCACATGTGCACAACAAATTGCTCCTTTTGTCTAACAAGCAAGCTTGTTTTATCTCCTGTAGGTGTGGAAGGGATGTGCAGCTAGCAGGGAAACATGCCAACACACTGCCTGTTTGTCCATTCACATACTGTTTGCTGTCAGAGCAGCTGCGGCTGGGCAGGAATGTCCCCCTGAACAATTACCTGATTAGCTTTCTGTGCACAGCCGAGGCTAGCCAGCTATAATGCACCCTGTCACCCTCCCATCCCTTCTCTCTCCACCCCATTCTCTAAAGTACACATATATGGATGCATGTCCACAAGGGCAAATGCAAAACCAGCTTCCTGAGCAAAAGGCTGCAGGATTCTTTGTGTCTTACAAACACAAATGATCATTTTCCTCTCAGATTCCTGCCAGCTTTCTGCAGCAACCTAATGGTTTTTCGACTCCGCTGCAACAGTCGGACTCTTCTGCACTGACTGGCTCCAACTGGTCAAGCAGAGTTCATTCTCATATTTTAAAATGACTCCCTCATTCCTTTTCACCCATCTGTTTCAGAAGGGCAGATGTTCAACATTCAATCATTACTTAGTCAGAAAAATAGAGAAAATGATTTGTTTTCTGATTACTTTCATATTTTAGTTTTTGTGTTAAGAAGTCTTGAGCTTGTTTGAGAAGGTTCAGCGGAGACATGATTGCTCAGCTGGTGTTGAATTCCTATAAAGCATTTTATGAATTTAAAGTGAGAAACCACCTCCTCCTTCCGCTCCAGTTACTGCTTTATATTATCCCAAACATTCTCTTAAATGTTCCTTATATACATTGTCAGTTAATTCTGTAATAAACATTTCTTCTGCCTCTCATATCACAGCATCTCACCACCAAATGGTTTCATTACCTGCTGGTGAAATCTTAAGCTCATCAATGCGTCCTGGAAAATGAAAACCACAATAATAAACTAAAATCAATAAAACATTATTTAAATGCTTATTTTATTAAATACAATTTAACCTCAATGTTGACATTATTTACATTGTAAGCTTGTAGATGATTAAAGCAAAGATGACAGCAATATTTTTGTCCTGAATTTAAAATTTGAGTACGGTGTACAGTTTAGGACATTCTCAGGTCTCAGACATCAGACCACAGAAAGGTCTCAGGATAAAAGCCATCAGACAACAAAAGAATCAGGAAAATTAGCTTCGAGAAAAAGTCAAACCAAAAGGTGTTAGGAAAAAAGTTGTGGTTTTGGTTTGACTATTTATTTTCTTGAAGCTGTTTTTCCTGAGGCTTTTTTCCTCTATGATCTGAGACCTGAGGAAACAAAAACGGTGATAATAAATACGATGAGATACCAAAGAAATCTCTATTAAATTTACAATTTTGTTAAAAGCAAACCTGAAATTAAGAAAAAGACCCTGGAAGAAATCTAATAAATAATTTGCATGACACACCCTAAGCAGAAGGTCTAGAGAGCATACACACTTCTTCATATTTTTATTGTATTCTATCTCTTTTATTTGCATCAGCCCACATGAATCAGATGGTGCTGAGTGAAAACCGTTTCCTGGGGCTGGAGGCTAGGAGGGAGATCCGGTCGTCCGGTTGGGGTCTGGGGTGGTGGGTTGCTGTGCTCAGAGTTGGGCGGGGCAGCCTGCTCATCAGCACCCCAGCAGAAAGGGTCGAACTCTGGGAACCGGTGATGGTTGTACCCCATGTGCAGCAGTACTGGGACCAGAGTGAAAAGGGTGTGAATGGGGAGCATGAGGGAGGGAGTGTGTGACTGTGTTTGTGTATGACTGTATATGTCAGGTGGGGCTTTTGACTCCTCTCTTCTCCTGGGACTTCTTTTGATGATATAGATCTTCGCCTCCCCTCTCCCTGCCACACCTGGTGTGGAGTGCGGTGCCTTGGTCTGCCTGGGTCGTGGCTCCCGGGTCAGGGGGTTTAAGATTTTTGGCGTCTGCCTGACCAATCCCGGTGGCTTCCTGGTGGAGTCTGGGTCCCTGGGCTCTGCTGGGTCCCCGGCGGGGGTGGTCGCTCCTGAGTCCCGGGTCGCTGGGTCCCAGGCTCGGCCGGCTAGGGGGTGGGAGGCTGCGGGCGGGCCTGTGGGCTTGCCGCCAATATCTCCGGGGAATCGGTCAGCTGCTGGTTGTGGCCCCCCGGGGCAATCCTCTGCGCCTCTCGAGGGGCGGGGGCTTTTCTGGTCGCAGTCTCCTTGGAGTTCCTGTGCTCTGGGGCAGCTCCTGGATCTTTGGGACTTGGAGCTCTCTCCGTCTCCTGCACATCTTTAGGGGGCAGATCTGTGACCCCTCACACTCTCTGTTGGACGCTTTTATAGAGAAACCTTACATAAACAAGCGCATGTACACACAGGTGCTCACATGGTGCTCTCATAAGTATGGACTTGGGCACGTTCAACACATGTCTTAAGGCTGTCGTTGCCACTAAATGCACCATGATTTATTATCGTGTGATTGGTCAGTTAAACAATGTTGTTTATATATCTCTTCATCAAGTTGACAGCGATAGCTTGATCTTGTTGTATTGTTGTGTGTCCCTTTTTTTCTATTTCTCTTTCTGCAGGTCTAGAAGCAGACTCTTGTTCATTATTGTTTATTTTTGTGGACCCCCCCCCCCCAACACACACACACACACCTTTTGTCTCTTCCTTTCTCTTTCACCTCTGTCTCCGTGTCTGGTCGGAATTAAAAAGCATTCAAAAACAAAGTTTTAAGTATCAGGCGTGACATTAAAAGCAGACGCTTTGGTGCTCCACCTGAGAGTAAATCTGTAAGGCTTGTCACCAGCATTCAGACATCAATTCTGTTTGCTTCACAGCCAGACAGGACACGGGGAAGAAAAAAATAAATAATAAATCAAAAAGATTACCGCTTTGGAGCATCACTGAGTAACCAGATGCTGCCATTCTTGTTGATTTTGTTAACATCTTAGTTTGAAAAGAAGGGAATTTCAACCATCCATTGAGACAAACTGTTTTCTTGTTTGTTTGACTTTTCTGTTTTTAACTATGAGCCTGAACCAGATGGATTAATGACTCCACCACGAAGACCAACAATCTCAGAGGAGTCAGCTGTAAAACCAAACCACGTAGAGCTACATTAACTTCCTCTGTTTCACTTCACTGACCTCTCACTTCAAAAGCAACTTTTATCTGGTGTTTCTCTGCTTTGCTCGGCTGCTGCAGGAGTTGATGACCAAACTGATAACTGAGACGCCGGACCACCCCATCCCCTTTCTCATAGATCACCTGCAGACCAAGCAAGACAGCCCTGGAAAACTGCACAGAGCTTTCTCTGGTTCAGCAGCTCTGTGGGCTCAGAGTTCTCCAGGTTGGAACACACACACACACACACACACACACACACACACACACACAATTTTTGACAATGTTAGATTCAGACTGATCTTTACTCTTTGCTTTTTGGTAAAGCACATTTTACCTCATATGTTTTATTAATTAAGCAAAGACTTACTTAGAAAAAACTTAGAATATGGAAATCTTTGAATAAAACGTAAAACATTAACATTACTAACAGGCCAAATTTCTAAACATAATGCCTTGAACAAACGGAATACAAAAGTGTTTTATTTTCTAGTTTACTTGCAATTAGCTGCAACAGCTGAGCTAAACTGTCTTTGTTAAGTAAATAATAATGTAAGATGGGTGGTGTCAGATTCTTCCGTGTAAGGCTTAGACATGTGAGAGATTGTTGCTCTCCTTTTGGAGAATTGCTTGTAGACCTTTACTAAAAGGTTGCATCAAGACAAGGTTTGGTGCAAGGTGCAAAGACATTTCTGCAGATTTTAAAGTACTAAAGAACTATTTTTCAAATATGAAGGGGACTTATTATGCAAAATGAACCTTTTGCGTACTGACCTGTGGGTCTCTACTGACTTTATAACACTCCATACCTTAAAAAGTGTTTGGTTTTAGGACTTTAGGTGTTTAAAATGTGTGATATTCATCGACATATAAATATTGGACAATGGGTTTCCATAGACTCCAATAACACGTTTTTGAAGATAAATGGGAGGTGGCCACCACCGCCATTTTGACCGTGTCACAGGTTCCGTCAAGCTCAGACAATTCCACAAAAGGGAAGAGAGGTGGAGCTGAGGGTGGGGCTGTAAGGCTGGGATCGACTGATGACACCCGTTCGAACTAGCTACAAGCTAACCTGAAGCTAACCCAAAGCTAACGCGGGGGTGGGAGCTAAGCTAACAGATGTAACAACCTAGCTACAACCGGAGTTAACTGTGCACAACACCAGAGCTTCTGAGTCAGAGATACGCCGGGCTGACCGCTGGGTAAAACCGGGTGGAACACAGAGGTCTCCCGAAAGCTGCTGAAAGCCGGCAGCCGCACAGCAAACAGAAGCCGTGATCAGACAGAGATGCACCGAGCTGTGGGGAGGGGAGAATGGGTGGAAAACATCGGTCTCCCAAGATCTCCACAAGCTGATAGTCGGAACCCAGCTCCACCAACATGATATATTTCAACCCATTATCTAAAGTGCAGCATTATGTTAAATGAACTGGGTTTTACCCTATTACATTTAAATTTCATGGTTAAACAGTACATGTTAAAATCTTAAGCTCAGCTCGGCAGTGACCTAAAATCCATAAATATAATTTTACTTACCGAAAAAAATGAAGTGGAGACTCCTTGGACGCTCTATTAGTGCAATTAATACCACAGCAAGTCATTTTGTCCAACAATTGCACAAAAAATATCCAAAACAGAATACACAAACACAGAGACTCAAAATCCCGGAGCAGTTTCCAGGCCAGACCAAGGCTCTACTGAGGCCTTTCCACGGAGCTAGCTCTGTGGTCACGTGGGTCTGATGCTCATTAATTATACAGAATTTTAGGCTTTTAATACACTTAAACAGAAGAGTGAGAAAAAAATTCACCCCCCTCAGAGTTGTCATGAGTGCAAACTAGATCATTTAAACTAAAAACATGTTTTGGTACCAGGCCGTAAACATGTTTATTTCTGCTGTGAAATTGGCATTTTTAACATGGGAGTCAATGAGGATTTGCTCGATTCTGACACCAGCCCCCAGCGGATGAGGGTGGAACTGCAATTTTTGGTACTTCCGGGTTGGCCTCAATTTTTGAGCCGCATTGTGGAGGCTTGGTGGTATCACAAATAGAGGAATTAGAAAAGAACCACTTGCTGCTGCAGGAGCAGTGGCTCACCCCCAAACCCCTCCCAGATATCGGAGCTTTTCAGCTTATTGACCCTTTGCACCGATGTAACCTAATCACGTGGGTCCACCATGGTGGACGGCAAAACAGTGAGCGACACAATTACAAAACAAAGGGAAAAGTAGAGCCTGAAATTGTTTTTGGGATCAAAACAAAACTCCAGCTTTGCTTCAACTAGTTCATGCCCAGTTCAGTTATCAGAAGAATTAGCGCATCTAGCGGGGGCTCATAGAGAGCGGTATGTTAACTAGCTTACCAACGTTAGCTTACGTTCTCTCCTCAGCTGTTCACCAATGTAAACATGTTGCTGACTTTGCCTAAATTCACCCCTCTGGATTTATAACTTTGTTATAAACAGCGTTTCACTTTACACCGAAGCTGATTTTTAAAAAGTCCGGATCCCTACCAGCTTCTGTTGCTGGTGGTGTTACCGGGTTCATCTGCTGCTCTCACACCGGAATGAGAAGATCTCTGAACGGCGACGCTCATATAAATAAATAAATAACGTAATTTTAACACACGTAATCATACATCGGAGCTTTAATATTGTTAATAATTATCTCGCTTTACTCTACAGTGGATGGCGCGCAATTTACTATCAATAACTAGTAACATCACATTTATCCCTGTCCCTGTTTTCCTCGTGAAATAAATGAACGTTAATCTTACCCGGTAAAAACGTGTTCGCTGCATGAGGGCTGCTAGTCTGCTTGATTGATCGCTGCAGTTCATCACCGTCCTCAGTCTCCATCAAAGTTATTAAAACGAAAAAACGATTTGAGTTTACATCCTTGTCTGTTAGTGCAGCCAACCACGCAGCAAGCTAAAACCATTTTACTGCCAAATCAACTAAATAAAAGCGATAAAAGACTACAAACTGGCTTGTTTTGACTACCTTCACTGGAGTTTCAACAGGTGTAAACGGTCTTTTTGCCGCCCATCATGGCGAAGGGGGCGGTCACATGAGTGGCGTGACGTCACGTGCAAAGGGTCAATAGCAGCCTGAGTGGGGGGTGTGGCTCGGGCCAGCTCCAGCTGGTTTTCTTAAAGTGATAGAGCCCTGAAACAGCTCATTCTGGAAGGTATTGAAAATACCAAAAATAAAACAGCTTTAATTGCTTTGTGTGAGAGGGATTTTAGTGCAAGGAACATTATTAACATGTTTTGAATCGACCATAGTACCATTATAACTTATAAAAAGTCAAATAATGTCTAATGTAATTGATTTCTAAGTAAAATGTTAGCATTCATGCTGAGGAAGTAGAGATGAAGAGACTTGGTTTCAAGTGATCAGAAATTAGACTAATTTTCCTTAAAAAATATAAATGAACCACCAACTAAACCATTCAGGACACTGAAAGCTGAAAACTCAAGGAAAAATCCCGAAATCGCCTTAAACAACGCTGACTATGATAAAATACCCTGATATAATACAACAAAGGTTTAATCAGTCTGGAAAAGAAACCAAACACCGAGCCTCACCTCATTAATTCAGTCCCTTACAGTCAAACACGAGGGGTGACGGGAGGATGTTGGGAGGTTGTGCTGCTGCTGCTAAATGAACAAAGATAAAGGATAAATGTGGAACAAAAAACCTTTCCAAGGTGCTGAGAATCTCAGGCTGGGGCAAAAGTCTGCTCTTAAACAAGTCAGCATCCACAAACATGCTGCCAGCAATAAAAAAGGCTGCTTCAAATGAAGATGGGGACATCTTAAGTGACTCATCTGGAGTCTGGACCAGAAGCCAGAGAATCCACAAACCCTGATGATCCACATCCAGCCTCAGAGCGATGGAGATTCTTCTGAGGAAGAGAAGGATGGAAGAAATATCTTTGATTTTTGCTCCAAAAAGACTCGTCTAAAGAACAGGATAAAAGATTCTGCCGTGATGGACTTGTTTAAAGGGCTAGGGTAGTCTAATTTAGGTTAAAACTGAACAATAGAACGACATTTTTACTCTTTCTGTTATCTTTGATATATGATGAACACGCATTCGATTCTGAAACCAATTTGTTTTTGTCCCATAAATAAAATCCTTTAATTTTCATACTCATTACACTCTCTGGGCTAGTATGCATTGCATCACATTTGGAAAGCAAGTAGCCACTGTTATAGCGGATGGGTGTGCTTCCATCAACTATAAAGCATCATGCTTTGCAAGCGCCCCAGAAGCATCGAGATGCGGCGCTGACGTCCAAGCCTTCTTTCCACTGGACGTGAAAGTGGCGTATAATGAAACAGAGGCGCTTGACTCGCGAGCTCTCTTTCAACCGGGAGCGATTCTGCTACAAAACGGGAGCAACAGCGTTTCATCAGAACCTATGAGGTCACAAGATCACAGGAGAATCGTCAGATCACGCGTGATTTCGGAAGTTACAAGCAAACAGAAAACCGCTGCATGTATCCCAAAAGGACTGTGGCTTTTTTTTCTGTTCTGTTTGCATCGGCTACGGGGGTTTCACAGGAAATGACGTACGTTTATCTGCATCTGACTTTTATTTTGGACATTTCTGGATGTTTTACACAGTTTGTTTTTTTGACTTCCTGTCTGGCTTGTTCTAAACGACATGATTTGGAAGCATAGCGCGTATAAAAACTCTCACAGAGAAAGGAACTCATGGCTTAAATGCATCTTTTATATTACGCACCACCTACGCATGCGGTGGAAAGTCGGGATAACGTACCAGAGAGATCTGCTGATAGAGGTGCCATTCAGCCCCTATCAGACATTAGAGCTTCTCAGCTTACAGCAGCCTGAGCGGGGAATGGGTGGCCAAAGCCAGTTTCAGCTTGTTTTATTAAAGTGACAGAGCCCTGAAATGACTCATTCTGGAAGGCACTGAAAATGTCATGTATAAAACTGCTCTATTTACTTTATGTGAGAGGGATTTAGTGCAAAGAAGTTCATTTGCAATGACCACAGAACAATTATAACTTAATATGTCCCTTTTAAAAGAAGCATAAATAGCTGTGAGATGGCAGCTGGTGGTAATTCACTTTGCTAGTGGTTAGGTGTTAGCTTTTTTAGGCTATTTCACAAAATGTGACATTCAGGAAGCTCCAACTGGTGAGATGGACGTTTTTTTCTAAAGTTTACACAGAGACACATTTTAAAATCATTGAAATTTTCTTTTTTAACTGCCTATATTTTTCAAGATTTTTATTTATTTTTGACACTTTTTCTTTCTTACCAGAAAACAAGAACTCTCGCAGGGAGTACAGCAAAGTTGAGAAGCCATGGCAAATTACCCCGAAGAAACCCAAGAAGTCAAAAAGTGACCTGGCTGTTTCGAGTATCTCTCCACCATCACCAGAATCCAAGTCCTGTAAGTTTCACTTGTGCACAGGGCTGACTGCTTCTCTTTTATCTTGATCACACAGATATTCTCAATCCTCTCCAGACTACGATGCTGCACCGTTTTCAGACCTGTTGCATCACTTGTTTCCCAATTACAGGCTCTATTGACTTTAATCTTTATTTTAATTTGATGTAATTATATCTAATTAAAGTTAGTCACAGTGCCCTCCTTCCAGCCTCCCAGAGCACTGCAGATGAGTTCATTAGAACGTGCCACTTTCTACATTTAATCTTGCTTTACACCGGAGTGAATTATTCACAAGCTTCTGTCATACATGTAGAACAGATGGAGAAACTTTTTTTGAAATAAGCGACCCAATCAGTGATGTTGGGGTGAAGCATGAGCCCAAAGGCGATGAGTTTGGGTCAGATTGGGAGGAAGCAGAGCCAGACTGTTTCAATAATTCAACACGCAATGATCTGTCACTGCCACAGACGGGCTATTTTAGGCTGTGGTCATGATCAGGAGGAAACGTGTGAGGGGATGAGCAGTTGAAAAAAGGAAATAGTAACCCAGGAGAAGTAGGACAAAAGACACTGAGGTGTTCTTAAAGGTGTGGAACACAGAAAACCCGTTTTTAATGATTATTTCTGATCGGTCACTCTTGAGTTTCATGCAGGCTGAACATGTCCTACACCTACCTCCTGCATTAGCTTCTGATGGAAAACATATGTTGAAACTCAAAGTTTAGAAAAGCCTGACAGATCTACGTCACACTGCCGCTGACGACGGGGAAGGCTGTTGTTTTAACATAAAGGATTCAGCAGCGAGCATCCCGGCTAGTTTAAGCTAGGCCTTTACTATTTTTAACTGACGAGGGACGAGAGTGCTGGTTACCTTCTTGCTCCCAAACGTGTTTTGTGAATGTTAAGGAGCATTTTGATGCTTTTTTTCAATGTAAACCTGTGAGGCCTTTTACATTGTGTTTTAAAGTACATTTTAATGGACAATTGGGAGTTTAGTAAAATTTTAAATCCTTTAATATTAAAACAATGGCTTGAAGTTTCCCACCTTGCACATGCATGCTCTACGCCCATGTCCTTAAAACTTTCCACCGTAACGGGTCGTAACACATGTTGCAAGTCAGTGGTTCAGCCAGGTTGCTGCTATCCAATCCGAGGCAAGATCCTGCCGCCTGAAGCTTCGCTGTTATGTGGCTCATTTCTAGTTCCTGGAAATGGTGCACCGGTATATTTTTTCCCCTCAAGAACGACTTACAAGACATCCATTCCTACTAGAGACCACTGCAAATGTATCGATTAAACGAGCGAATCACACCTTTAACTTTACTTCTGTCTCTTTAGAACAGGGGCCACCCTGTGTGAAGCGGAGAGTTACTTCATGGATACTGAGCTAAACGAAGGGCTACCAGGTTGATACAGTACTGACCTTTGAACTGGAATAGATCAGAGTTTAACTAAACTTCATGAATATTAAACATGATTGATTGTTTTTAAAGAATATTGTAGTGTTTAAATCTAAATGAATGCATTTGGGATTAAAAAGATGGCAACAGATTTTTTTTTCTTGTGCAATTTGGAGAAAAGGCCGGTGGGCACCTTATGTACTATCCAGCAGGGGCGGATTTAGGACTGAAGAAGATCCGGGGCTTAACACACACACACACACACACACACACGTGCGCACGCACACATGCACACACACGTGATACGCACTAGTCAACATCATATATATTTGTCTTGTACCACATAATGTTTAATCTGAAGCTACACATTAAGCATATTCAGGGCAGAGTATTGTTCCTGTTAGTGTTTAGTGTGAGACGATAGTAAATATTCCCGCGTTCTTTCTCCAACAACTTTACCTGATAGTAAGCTAACTTTAGGCAAACCAGCAGCACAACAAATATTTTCAAATAAGACTCACAAACCTGAGTCAACACCAGTCTCATCAAAGCTGGGGTTCTGTTGCGGTACTTTTGGTCTAAAAAATGTCCTTTTGTCCATCTTCACACATACGTTTCAGGCAGAGAGTGTAGAAGAAGCCGGCTGCTGAAGGGCTTCTTCTTCAGTGGTGGAGGCTCAGGCAGGCTGTATACAAACTACTGCCAGCTGCTCCCTCTCTGTTGGACTTTGGTACTGCATGTTACATCCGCGATTTAGAACCGGGGCTTTTCATAAAACATTCGGGGCTTGAGCCCAAGTAGCCGGGCCTAACGCCGCCCCTGCTATCCAGGTGCACCACGGTGCCCGCAGACACCAGACTGTAAGACAAAGTCAAAAACTTGAAGTCACAGGATATTAAATATACATATCTGAGTTATTTTGGTGTGCAGAGGTCATGGAATCTTTAAGAATCCAAAGAACTTCCTTTAAAGAGCAAGTCACCCCCTACCAGATTCTTACTCAAATCCCACTTCCTGTTTGAAAAATGCAACAAATGTTGTTGCCTAGCAGACCGAGAGGGTGGAGCCGCTAACAAATACACACACATAGACTCACAATGACATTGTGACATCATATGGTACCATATAACATCATAGTGTACCTCTTAGCCAATAGCGACATCAGATTTTACTTCAAATGCAGTGCTGAGTTTTTACCTGACGACGGTGCAACACTGACAGTTTTAGGCGGAATATTTAAATTTGAACTAAGATGCACTAAAGTGCCGAATTACTGACTACATTTGTCTGCAGCACGATCAGACACTCATTTATATCAGCAAAATAAATGTTGATTTGGAGTGACTTGCTCTTTTAGCAAAACGTATCATCTCTCAGAAACACACCAAAGACTCTGAATCAGTTATTTGAAAAATGACTGCACCTCTCTGTCCTTTAGAGTTCTGGCTTCTTGACTGATGCCTTAAATACTTGAACCTGAACACTTAACCTCTGCAATCAAAAGCACCAGATACAGCGTGACCTATTTGCTGCTGCAGAGGCGAGGAGAAAAGCAGAAAAGCCCTTTTTTTTGGTCAGAGTTAAGGAAAGGATATTTTTTCTTTATCGGAGTGGATTTGGCAGAAACATTTGCTCTGTGTTTGTGGTCGCTTTTAATGCCAAGCAGCTTAGTCCGGGTAAAAAGGGCAGGGGAAAACAGGCTGTAGCAGCTGTGTGTGTGAAGGTTAATGTTTACTTTCTGCACCTGTCAGCTGATGTTTGTTTCATTTGCATTTGCAAGAAAATGACTTGGTTGTTTTCTGTGTCTGTTTAAGCAGACATGAGAATAAGAACGTTAGATACGGGCGAATGAACCACTTCCCTTCAAAGATGGTTGCTCTTTGCTCTTATTAATAGTGTTTGAATCAAATGACGTGTAAATGAAGCATCATTTCAGAGCGGCGGGTGGCATGAGAACACAGTAGCGGAGTATGTGGGTCATTTCCTGCTCCTCTTTGAGTTGTTTTTGCGAATCAAAGAGATTGACAGACTCTGTCCTCCTGGCCTCAGACCAGTGAGCTCTGTGCCTCTGGAAGCAGTGTGATGACTTCTCTGCCAGTGCTCTATTTCTCTTCATCCTGCGGCAGAAGCCCCAGAAGCTGGAACTTCTTTTTTTTGTGTGTTGTTGTTGCAGTTTCAGGAGTTCTGATGTGAAATGTTCTGTTTGTGGCGTGCAGTGCCGCGGTCTGTTGAGTACCCGTCCTGGGACTGGAGGGAGAGCCGCGACTTCGATGAGCTCAGCCACATTCTGCAGGAGAGCAAGAAGCTGGGCAAAGCCCTGGAGAGCCTGTCGCGCAGTGAGTTTGAGAACACCCTAACAAACTGAGTCTTTGATCCAAAAGAGACAGAAATCATCCTCAAATTTGTGCACAGACTTGATACAAATATGGACTTAGCTACTGGTGAGGAAAGCCAAAAAAATAAATAAAACTGCCTGGTTAAATTCTACTGAGCTTATATTTTTGTCAAAGTTATTAAAAATATTTCCAAAGGCTCTTTTGGTAAACTGGTTTGGATGCTGTGCTGCATCAGTACTTTCTGCAACAACTTTGGGTGTTTTGTTTTGATGCTGTGTAACCATGGAAACCGCGGGGTTGTTTACATGCACGAGAATCTGACTTGAGCTCGCCAGCTGTTACCTGAATCTCCGATGAGTTAATGAAGAGAAGTTTCTGATGCAAGGTTGGGGTTAACCGTAACCCTGGGGTAAAACAATAAAACACAGAGGAGGTTTAAATGTGACAAATAAATATGGAGCACTGAGGAAGACAAAGGCAGAATATTAATAACACTGTATGATGCGTTCCACCACAACTTGGCGGCTGCAGCATCTTGCTGCTCAACTTTCAGACTCTGGTCACACAGGAAAGCAGCTGATGGCTCTTCTATAGACAAAGGGTCATTTCTGCAGCAACAGAGTTTACTCTTTATTTCAAGTTCTGTTTTGTTCTTTTTATTAAGAGATTTTCTCACCTTAAAATCCTGCATTAATTCCAGAGTTATCTCAGCATCTAATTGTCATGGTTTGTGCTGAGCTAAACTGGTTTTGTTTTCCTCTGAGTGCCGTCTGCAGGTGGGCGTGCCCTGGAGAGCACAGCTGTTTCTGTTCAGCCCATCAGTGGCCAGGGTATTTAAGGAGCAGCGTGACAACTCGCCTGTGCCGGATGATACTCCGTCTTGGGTAGTTCCAGCCGCTACCAGTCCTAGCTCTTGTCATCTCAGAATACATTTTTGTATTTTTTTATCCTGACTCCGCATTTATCTGATCTGTTCTCCTGACCCATCCAGATTTCCCTCACCTGCAAAGAACATCACACTTCAATAACTTTGGATTCACTCAAGCTTTCAGCCACGTCGTTCACCTCTGACCACCAGCTCTCCACCGCCTACCTGCTCACCTGGACACACCTGCAGCCAACTCCCTGTGCTCAGCTCCCAGCTCAGTGGCCTAGTGGTAGAGTGTCCGCCTTGAGACTGGGAGATCAGGGTTCGATTCCTGGTTGGGTCATACCAAAGACTTTGAAAAAATGGGACCCAAAGCCTCCCTGCTTGACACTCAGCATTAAGGGGTTGGATTGGGGGGTTAAAGCACCAAATGGTTCCCGAGCGTGGCTGTGTCTGCAGCTCACCACTCCCCCAGAGGATGGGTCAAATGCGGAGAACAAATTTCGCACACACATCAGTGTGTGTGACAACTAATGGGACTTTAACTTTGGTCTCTCATCTCCCGCTCAGCCAGATCTGACCTGCCTCCCTCCTTGGCTTCCCAACTTCCTGAAGACCAACACCCTGAAACTCCTCAACCCTCTGGATCGTCGTTTTTTCTCTCCTCCACAAAGAATTTAATAAAATGCATAGAAACTTTTACTTACCTCTGGTTCTGTGGTGATTCTTCATGTTGTGGGTCAAAAAACTACCCTCTAACATGACAGGATCATCCGGCCAACAGTCTGACCCCATTGCTGAATCACTTCCGCCTGCTTTAGCCACAGTGTTATCCCAGCACGACAGCTCCATACAGACCCTCACTGATCAGCAAGCTAACTAATAGGCATCTTTTCCAGTTAGAATCCATGATTCGACAGATGAATGACTGACTCTCTGTTCCCGCTGCTCCTGTTCCTCCGCCAGCCGCTCAACAACTTCCGGTTCAGTCTGGTCCATCACATCCTTGGCATTTCTGAGTCGCGGACTCACCACCTTCCGACACCTTCTGCTGTGAGTTCGGCAAAGTCCGAGGTTTTCTTCTACAATGCTCATTGGCATTGGAAAGATCCCCAGAAATATTCTCCAGCGATCCTGTTAAAATCTCCTACATGGTTGGTTTACTCCGAGGTCGGGCGTTTCAATGGGTGGAGGCTAAAAGCCGTGACACCAACTTCCTTAAAGGGTCACTAGCAAATTTTCTTCTGGATTTTAACGGAACGTTTGGTCAATCTGAAACTCCTGCTGAAATAGCCAAGTCGTTGTGGAACATGAGACAAGGAAAAAAAAACGTTGCTGATTTTGCCATCGATTTTAGAACTCTAGCCACAACCTCAAAGATGGATGCCGATTCCTTATAGGGAGCTTTTTCTCAGGCCATGAATGACCAGATCCAGGATCAATTAGCCCTTTGTCTCGATATGAAGGATCTGGAGGACCTGATAACATTAGCCACTCGTTTCGAAAAAAGATTAAAGAGCCGTCCTAAGTACGCTAAACCATGTTTTGTGTCCACTATGCCCAGCCAGTCTACCCGTCCCACACCATCTCCTGTGCAATCACCCACTCTGTCCTCAGCCACTGTCCTGTCTGATGAACCTATGCAGATAGGCCGTGCCAGTTTAATCCCAGAAGAAAAACAACACAATTTTTCTTCCAGGTTATGTTTATACTGTGGTAACCCAGGTAGGGCTGCAACAACGAATCAATAAATTCGATGAAAATCGATTACTAAAAGCATTGGCAACGAATTGCATCATCGATTCGTTGTGTCGCACAACTCTTCCAAAAGCGCAGACCAGAGCAAGTCAGATCAGCGCGAGGGAGAGACGCAGATCAGCGCGAGGGAGAGCCGGCAGATCAACGCGAGGGAGAGCCGGCAGATCAGTGCGAGGGAGAGCCGGTACCGGCAGATCAGCGCGAGGGAGAGCCAGTACCGGCAGATCAGCGCGAGGGAGAGCCGGCAGATCAGCGCGAGGGAGAGCCGGTACGGCAGATCAGCGCGAGGGAGAGCCGGCAGATCAGCGCGAGGGAGAGCCGGTACCGGCAGATCAGCGCGAGGGAGAGCCTGCAGACTTGCGCTGCTGCGAACCGGTTCCACATTGTTGCGCAGCGATCCAGGTAGCTGCTTCCAGCGCATGGTCCATTCTCAAAGTGGCGCAACCAAAAAACTATAATTAGCACATGATCGTTCTTGTCTGCTCATGTTCTCTATTTTCTATCTTATTTGCCTGAAGCGCGCTACTGCGGAGCTCATCACCTGTGCTGTGGTGATGTCACCTCACGCAGCATCGAAAACGTGCTCTGCGCTTTGCGGTCAGGAGATCCCTTTGATCTGCTCAAAAGTAACTGATGAGGTGAAAAGGTAAGAATCCAGGCAACAGATTTTCTGGAGAATTATGAGGAGATGCAGGAAGATGAGAGACAGACAGGACAGGAAAATAGTTAAATAAAAACAAGAAAACAAAACAAAGTGTTGAAAAGTAAAATGTAGGTAGATTTATCTCCACTACAAGTTTTTACCAGAAAAAACTATAAGTTATACACATGTAATATTTATACATCTGATACAATTCAGATCACCTTCAAAACTCAGTCACACACCCAGGGCCGTTTCAAGACATTTTGGGGGCCAAGGCAAAATGCCCCCCCCCCCCCATAACTGGGCTCCCCAGAAGCCTCTGTGTAATTCATGCCCTCTCCAGGAGTATTAGTTATACAGTGTTTATAAAAGCCCCTCAGACATTACTGACATGTTCTAATATTATCAGATGAAAAACTAAATTATCAGACATGCTGTCTCATCTGCTTCTTTTCTAAACTTGCAAAAAGTAACAAAACCATTTGAAAGCCACTATTTGTGGATTCTCTGAAAGTTTCCATGGAGTGTGTGACAACTTATTTTTTTCATTGATCCTATCGTCTAATCTCACAGCTGAAACAAGCATCCTTAATAATCTGTGCACAGGAAGCTTACCGATGCTGTAGTAAAACAAAAGGTATAATAATTTATTATTAATAAAACCTTGTTGCAGCACTAAAGCATAAAATTGAGATTTTGTATTAAATATGCAAAATATTTACATATGAATTGTTTTAGAGCCCTTTTATTGGCAGAATCTGATATTAATTTAGTTCTTACAAAAAATGGGTCCCAACATGGTTTGTGTGGCGTTGCCATAGTGTGACGTCATAGGCACAGATCCCCTGTCCTCTTGTTTGGAAATGGAAATATGATCACCCTATATTAAACTGTCCACCTGGGCTTTTGCGCTGCACAGAGATGCTTCGCTGACTGTGACTGAACGTCAGTTGAGAGTCAGTCTCATGCAGACTGACCAATGAAGAGAGGGCCTCAAGTTAAGACCCTCTCCTCATTGGTCAGTCCACATGAGGTGGGTCAAAGGTTACTCTGGGTGGGTTACGTGTTGTCAGGCATTCAAGTATTGAGTATATTTACTGCATATTACAGTAAAATATTCTGTATGTGACCACATTATGTTGATCCTCGGGTCGTGATGATGGAGCCCTTGAATATTGTTGCCCAGGGTACAACAAAGTGTTAATCTGGCCCTGGTTCCGCCGTCACATTCCCGCAGAAACTGGTTGATCACACCGGGGCCAGACTACTAGCATGTGGTTTTACAACCACAATGTCCTCGGAAGCAAAAACGCTTTTAAAAGGGAGGGAGGAGTCCTAACTGTTGCTGCAGGCGTGTTGTGTGAGAGTGCAGTTATATACTGTTAATATATTTTTGGGTTCGGTTGCTTTCATGTGGCCTAATGTGAGTCTATTTGGGATCATTGGAATGATCAGCAGCATTTCTTGATGTGACTTTATGGCAGTTGCCCAGGGCATCATCGCAAGGAGGACGGCATTCATTTACTTTTGTTTTATTTGGTATTTTTTCAGTCATTTTTGGAAATAGTGATCAATTTTTATTAATTCACAGCCTATGTTTAATTACATTTAAAATTAGTTGTTTGACATCCCCAGTTATAATAAATGTCAACAGATGAGATCAAACAAAACAGATGAGAATTGCCCTTAAGCTGTTTAACTTGGACCAAGCATTTTAGGTCACAGATAGATGTAGCTTAGGGTCTCTGTCTATACACCTTATAAGACAATTTAGGTGATGGCATGTTGTTTTTCTGCTATTGAACTGTTTTCTAATAATGTTGTGTTAAATAAAGTGAAGGAAGGTGAGAAATAACGTTTCCTAGCAGTTTTTAAAAATTTCCCCATGTAATCCGATTAATCGATTAATCGTGTCGAGACCCCATCCGATTAATCGATTATCCAAATAATCGTTTGTTGCAGCCCTAAACCCAGGTCATTTTGTGCCTAACTGCCCAGTTCGTCCAAAAGGGAGAGCCCACCAGTGATACCTGGGGTACTGGTGGGCAGCAGCATGGACCATAAAGCCTCCCGATGTTGACTAACCTGCTCTGTTTCTTTCAACCAGCATACTCACCCTACTACAGCCCTCATAGATTCTGGTTGCGAAAAGAACCTACTGGATCAAACCATCGTTTCCCAGCTGGGAATTCCCACAGTACCTCTCATCCCCTCTATTCGGGCCTCGTCAATGGATGGAAACTCGCTGACTACCATCACTCATCAAACTGTACCCATCAAATTACAGGTTTCTGGAAATCATCATGAGGTTATCACATTTTTTGTTTTTCCCTCTCCTCAGTCCCCTGTAGTTTTGGGACATGACTGGCTGGTTACCCACAACCCTCACATCGACTGGGGAGCTAGTCAGGTAGTGGCTTGGAGTCCTTTTTGCCCATCCCATTGTCTACTGTCTGCTACTATTTCTGCTCAGGTTCCTGTGTCCAGTCCTTCGACGCCACCGGACCTCTCTGGAGTCCCTCCGGAGTACCATGATTTACAAACCGTTTTGTGTAAGGACCGGGCTGCATCTCAGCCACCCCATCGGCCATACGATTGTGGTATCGATCTGCTCCCGGGGGCTACTCTTCCATCCAGTCGGTTGTACAGCCTGTCTAAACCTGAACGTGAGTGTGTGGTCACCTACATCTTGGAGTCCCTTGCATCAGGTATAATACGGCCTCCCACCTCACCCCTGGACGCAGGTTTTTTTTTGTGTCTAAGAAAGACGGCTCCCTGAGTCTTTGCATAGATTACAGAGGATTGAATCAAATCACCATCAAGAACAAGGATCCTCTGCCTTTGTTGTTGTCTACATTTGACCCTGTACAGGATGCCACCATCTTTACTAAACTGGACTTCTGAAACGTCTACCATCTGGTCAGAGTCAGGGAGGGTGATGAGTGGAAGACGGCCTTCAAGACTCCGCTGGGCCACTACGAATACCTTGTCATGCCTTTTGGCCTTACTAACGCTCCCGCTGTCTTCCAGTCTCTGGTAAACTCTGTTCTAAATGATTAGATCCATAAGTTCGTAACCATATATCTCGATGACATCCTGATAGTTTCCAAGTCCCTTCCTGAACACCATCAGCATGTCCGAGCAGTCCTGCAATGCCTTCTGGAAAACCACCTCTTTGTTAAAGCCGAGAAATGTGAATTCCATGCCCCCTCTGTGAAGTTCCTGGGATTCGTCTTGGAGAGTGGGCGGTTGAAGACCGATCCGGAGAAGGTTCCTTGGTTTCACAAATTTCTACCGACGTTTCATTCGCAATTACAGCCAGGTAGCATCTCCCCTGACTCAGCTAACATCCACAAAAACACCTTTTGCTTGGACAGATGAAGCCAACAAGGCTTTCCTCGAGTTAAAATCCCATTTTACCCGAGCCCCCGTTTTGTCTCGCCCTGATCCCTCCATGCAATACACTTGAAGTTGACGCCTCGGATTCCGGTGTTGGTGCTGTTCTCTCTCAAACCTCCCCATCTGATAACCTACTCCACCTTTATGCTTTCTTTTCCAAGAAACTCACACCAGCAGAACAGAACTACGATGTGGGAGATTGAGAGCTGCTAGTTGTGAAGTTGGCCCTAGAGAAATGGTGCCATTGGCTAGAAGGAGCTGAGCACCCTGTCATAATATGGACAGACCATAAGAATCTCGCCTACCTCAAGGAGGCCAAGAGGCTCAATCCACGACAATCTCCTTGGTCCCTGTTCTTCACCCGTTTTAACTTCGTAATTTCTTACAGACCCAGAACCAAGAACATAAAACCAGATGCCCTGTCTCGCCAATTTTCCTCTGACAAAGACCACGATCCTCCCACCATCCTTCCACCATCGTGTGTTGGGGTCCATTTCCTGGGGCATCTCCCGTAAAGTCCTGGAGGCCCAAAGATCGACCCTGACCCAGGTAATGGTCCTCCCCCAAAGTTGTATGTTCCCCAACTAGTCAGAGAGGCGGTAATACATTGGGCCCACACCACAAAGTTTTCCATCCACCCAGGGGTTGGACGCACCCTTGCCCTGATCCGGAGGTCGTTCTAGTGGCCCTCTATGTTCAAGAACGTCAAGGAGTAACTCACCGCCTGTCAGATCTGCGCCCGGAACAAAGCCACCAACCAACCTCCTGCTGGTCTGCTGAAACCTCTTCCCATTCCCTCCTGTCCATGTTCCCACATAGCCCTGGACTTCGTTACTGAACTGCCTGTCTCTAAGGGTTTCTCCACTATCCTCACCATCGACAGATTCTCCAAAGCCTGCCATTTTGTCCCTTTGAAGTCCCCCTGTCCTCCACTGAGACCGCCAACCTCCTGATAAAACATGTATTCAGACTCCACGGCATCCCATCCGAGATCCTGTCTGACCGCAGCCCCCAATTTCTTTCCAAGGTTTGGAAGGAGTTTGCCACCACATTGGGGGCCCGAGTCTCCCTCAGCTCTGGTTACCATCCCTAGACGAACGGTCAGTGTGAGCGGCTCAACCAGGAGTTGGAAGCCATGCTTTGTTGTGTGTGCTCCTCCAATCCCACCAGCTGGAGCACCCAGCTTCCCTGGATTGAGTACGCTCACAACACCCACATCTCTTCCACTACTGGTCAGTCCCCGTTTGAGTCCTCCCTTGGTTTCCAGCCTCCCTTGTTCCCGTCAGATCTTCCTGCTTCCATCGCTGTCCCTCTGGATCTCCGTTTGATGGATCCTCCACAAAGACTTTAATAAAATACATAGAATCTTTTACTTACCTCTGGTTCTGTGGTGATTCTTCATGTCGTGGGTCAAAAAACTACCTTCTAACATGACACTAATGTAATGGAGCTTGATAACTTTTGTAAAATGTGGTCCCACTAAATTAAAGGTTTAAAGGTTGGATGCTTGAGAAGTTTCTCCAACATAAAACCATTTTGTTCGTAATATATTGTTTTTTTTTTTTGCCCTTTCTCTGCAGGCATTGCCATCTCTGATGAGCTTGACCAGGTATGCACTTATATTTAAACTTCTTTACCTTGTTGTTGCTGGTGAAGGTACTCATTCATCCAGGTCATGGTAATCCAAAAGGCTTCAGATGAAGGCAACTGGACTACTTTGGTTTCTTGAAGATGTTTTTTTTATCATCTGAGGAGCTTATATAATTGATAACTGAGACGCCAGACCACCCCTGTGTTATAAGCTGTTTATACACAGTTTTTAACTGGATACCGGCCCTCCAGGGCCAGGATTGGGCACTCCTTATTTAAAGGAAACAAAATGAAAGTCTTGCAAAGGGGGTGATTATTTTTTATATTCACTGTAGAGGCTCAAAGAACAGTTTTCAATTCTGAAACCAACTCCTTTTAGGACATCTTTAAAAGCTTTATTAAGCCCCAAAAGCTCTGCAGTCATAAGAAAATAAACTTGTCATGTTTTCATTTCACTACACCAGATGTTCAACAGCAGCACAGCTCTTATACTTCTTTAGTTGTCTCGTGGGGGTGGAATGAGAGATTTTTCCACTGGCCTCGCTGCTTCACTGTGTGTCTTACCACCAATCTCCGAGTCTTTGTCCTCGTCTGGTCTCAATTCTCTCTAGGCACAATAACACAGCGACTGCATGAACAGAAGCTGCACAGACCCATTTAGAAATGATGGCTCAGGATGAGGAACACAGCATGTGTTTCATGCAAAGTGGAGCAAATCATTTCCTACTTAGTTTTCTGCTATTTAAAAAAAATCTAACAAAGAAATCAATAAAAGGAGAGAACATGCTTCAATCATGCAAGTCTGCAGGAGTTCCAATGGAGATCTTTTAGTTTTTTTATGTGGAATCATGTGTAAAGGTGCAGTAAATGTAATTAGCATCATTTCACAGATAAAAAATGTTTAATATCCTTCATGTTTAAACTTTATTTTTTTAGTCTTTTTTGGGATACAACACAGTTCTGCGTCCTCGGGTGGTGGGGGAGTGGATCGGCCGTGACGACAACGATGCAGACCCACTGGCCGCGGAGATGCTGCACCCTCCGGTCCCTCGAGCCAAAACTGAAGCGTGCTGGAGCGGAGAAAACAGCCCAGCTCACAGGTTAGCCACTCTGTTACTAGTCTTCATAAGCGTATGAAGAAATGTATGAAAGGACAAAATAAACTTCCAAAGCTTCACACAGCTGTTGGCGGTTGTACAAAAAACCCAAGGAGGTAGAGCTCTGACTCCTGCTGCCTGAGGAGTGCCCGTCTGAATGGGTTTGATAATCCCATTTCAAAGGCGCCATCAAACATGCTTGCCATGAAACCGCCTCAACCCAGTTTCAAATTAAAGCTAACCTCAAATCTGTGCACTCGGAGACAGAAGAACTTTGTGCAGGCCATAAAAAAGAACTATAACTCAGGGGGTGTTTGGAAATAGTATGCATGTTTTAAATTCATGTTTGCAAAACTATTCATATGTGTGTGTGTGTGTGTGGCGAATTAAAGGAGGCGAGGATATAAAACCATAAATCAAGAGCAGGCCGGAGCTGACACACGCACAGTTAATCTCATTAGATTACTGGATTTCTGGATTATTAGAAGTTAGGATAAACTTTGAGATGTAGGCGTGTGTGGGCTCTGAGTAGTGTTTCAGGAGACTCCTGCTGCTTTCTTCATCATTATTCAGGCTTATCAGATCATTTTGATCAACTCTTTATTCAGTTTTTCTCTGTAAACTTGCTCATTTATTAAAAAATATCAAGTTTCAGAAAAATTAAGTATATTTATTAATCCTCAGAGCAGGTTTATAATTCATAAATAGGCTAAATTTGACCACTTGGATCAAGTGGAGGCTGTCCAAAACCACCTAAGTAGGTCATTCTTTCTGGTGTTTCACTTTCAGACTCAGTTCTGGAGTTCATTTGAAATTTTTAACCTGTTTGTCAAATCATTTCATCTTCCTCATTTGACTTTTATAGGGTAGCTTGTTGCTTTTGACTTTTTATTACAGCGCATCTTCACCAACGATCACAAGAGGAGGTGACATCGTGCTCTGAAGCGTTTAGAAAAATCAACACGAACTTGTCATCCAGCGTCTGTCAGAAACCAACATGAATATGTTCTTGGTTTAAACATCGTAAGCTTTCAGATGTTTTAGTTAGTTGTAACTCAAATAAGTTCTGCTTGATTAACAGGATCACACTTTTTTTCTTGTTTTGTTCGATTTCTTTATTTTTAAGTTCTCATTCACTCGTTTTTCTTTGGCTGTGGTCTCTAGTGTAAATGAATGCCTTGTGAGACTTTCAGCGGAAAAAAGCTCTGGCGCTCCTGTTTCAGACGCTAGTCAGAGGAGTGAGGGGCAGAAAACGACAGGAATTTGAGTCTTACTCATTAATAATCATGATATTCAGACATGCCACCTCTGACTGGCTAAGCAGCATAACTCTTTTGCTGCCTTCATTCGCTCTGCGGCGTTGATATTTTATCTCCACAAAAAACACAATCCTAAAGGAGTTCTGCCATGTTGTGAAAGTGCTAATGCTAACGGTTAGCTTCTACTAGCTAGACATGCTCTGCTCTCTCCTGGGTGCTAAATCAATAACAGCCTTTCTCGAACACGATCCAAAATAGGGGAGTCCACAAATCCTAATTTTCTCTTGGAGGTTAATGCAGGAAATGGGGTAGAAGACTATTTTCACATTCAACCTGCATGTGAAACTCAGTAACCAATCGTATTTCAAAAATGTAAGTGAACTTGGCCTTTAATCTCACTATGTCTCACCTTTATTTAATGTTGAAATATAAAATAAATGTGAGTCTTCTGTTACCGTTAAACACTAAAACAGCTTATGGAGACACAAACTACCTAATGTAATTAGAACAAATATCCAGAGATTAAATAACTGCATCAGTCATCTTTGACCCTTTGTTGTTGGCTGGAAATAGAAGTCATTAAACAGCGATTAGCATCAGATGAACACTCCTCCGGTCCTACAATCCACACGCTCAGAAAATGAATTTCCTCACCGTGTTGGGAATTTAGAAGCCAGTTTACTTTGAAACTTTAAGAAAGTTAGCTTTTTGACTCAGTCAGGGACAAAATGCAACCAAAAAAGAACGCATCCATCTTTCTGATACTGAAATTATTGAATAATCCAGTTTTTCAAGGAATAAGAAAGTAAAAAGTTAAACTTTCTCACTTATTTGGATTATTGTTTATATTTTCTTCAGTCTGAAGATGGAAACAAAGAGCAAAGGGTTAAAGGAGCAGCAGCAGCACCACAAGAAGCTCCTGGCAGCCATGTTGTCCCAGGACTCCTTTGATTCTATCAGTAGCCCCGCCCACTCTGTCCTGGAGGAAGAGATTGAGGATGAGGACGATGCTATGGAGCTTCTGGGTAATATCATCTTATGCTATTGAAATGTTTTTATTTTAATTTTAAAAATATACATTTTTTTCAGTTTTTACACAAACACCTTAAAGAAGACATATTATGATTGCTTTTCTTAAGTTATAATAGTTCTATGGTCAATATAAAAGATGTTTATGAAGTTCTTTGCACAAAGTCCCTCCCACATAAAGTGATTTCCACAGTTTTTTCTTCTTATTTTCAGTACCTTCCAGAATGAGCCATTTTAGGGCTCTGTCACTTTAAGAAAACAAGTCGGAGCTGGCCACACCCACCTATCCCCCTCTAACCCCCAAATTCCACTACCTCCGCTCCGCTACGGTCCGCCCCCGCCTTCCGCAGCCGCTCGCTTCCGAACTCAATTTTTACTGGTACCCGCTCTACAACGGCTCCGCTCCGGTGCGGAGACCTGAGGTGGGCAAACAATTGCTTTGCTGACTTTAGGATTAATAGAAGTAGTTTGTTGTCTGTTGTCTCTGCAGACACGGGACACAGTTACCTCATTCTGAATCAGACCTGGTTCCTAAAATAAAAAGTGTCCAAACGCTCTTTCAGTTTCTTTCACTCGTTCTTAAGTTTCTTCTCTTTGACGAGGTAATGCTCATCAGCGGGGGTGAATTTCTTAATTAAACAGCTTGGCGTTTCTCTGCCCAGCAAATGCTCAAGCAGCAGGTGGCACAAAACGCAATTTAAAGCCTAACTGAAAGTTCAGCTGTTTTACAGGCTGACTCCCTGGTTAGCTAACAGTGGCTGCCTTGTAGAGGAACATCAACCCACAGCGAGCTCTTTTGGTGTCTAACACACGCTCCAATTATAGCGCCTCGGTGTCGATCAAGCAGCCTCTGTTGTGTTGTTGCTCCGCTGTGACACACGATGAGCGCGTGTCTTTGTTTCCTGCTCTTGTGTCACAACCCGTCTGCTTGTTAGCTGAAGTTTTTCTCCACTGACACATCTTCAAAGGTGTGTGACAACCTCAACGTGACATCCTTCCTGATTGTTGGTACGGTTTACAGCTAAACATCCTAAATCACATCCGAGGAAAATTCTTTATTTTTATCATATCTGAGTTTGTTCCAACCTGAGGGATCTTCTAAAGTCAACATGTTTATGTGCTTCAAAGTAATACAAGAGTGGGAAAATGGGCTCCCAATGGGGATGTCTCTGGCTTCCATTATGTCCCAGTGAGGGTGTCTAAAACATTAAAGTGTAAGATGATAGCCAAAGCGAATACTGCTTCAGTTGTATAAAAATGAAGCTAACAGGAACTGCCACGGTGTTATACATTCTAAGTCCCACCTACACGCATGCACACATTCACGATGCTTTTATAAACCATCAGATTACAGATAAATACATTAGGACATGAATGTTTGAAGAAGAAGCAGCAAGGTGTGTTAATCTTAGGAGTCAAAACCTGAAAATCTGACGTATGTTTTTGGGTTAAAGGACATCTTCAGTTGTTTTGGACTGAATGTGAGGTTTCTGCATGTCAGTCCATCGCTGCATGTTTCTGAATCAAATGTAAGAATTGCAAAAGTTTAGCCTCAGGTCAACTTTCTCTTTTACAAAGTTCTGGAGACGTCTTCTCAGTATATAGGCTATAAAATAATATATAACATATAACCGCTGTTCTTTTATTTTCTACTAACTTCTAGCTGAACAACTAAAGCAAATCGATGGTATAAAAACAAAATATCAATGACTGATAATTAGAGTTTGACTGTTACGGATTTTTAACAATCTCCAGTACTGGTGAACTTCTATCGCTGCACCATCGAGTGTATCCTGACCAACTGTATAACAGTCTGGTATGGGAACTGTTCCGCCTCGGATCGGAAGGCATTACAGAGGGTCGGGAAAACTGCCCAGCGCATCGCCGGAGCACCACTTCCTGCCATAAAGGACATCTACAGGAAGCGGTGTCTGAAAAGGGCAGGGAAAATCATCAGAGACCACAGTTACCCATCACATGCACTGATCACCCTGCTGCCCTCTGGGAGGCGCTACAGGAGCCTCCGGACTAAGACCACCAGGTACCGGAACAGTTTCTTCCCAACAGCTGTCAGACTCCTGAACTCTGCCTCCTGACATATGACCCACGTTAAACTCATGGACTGCTTGTATTAACTACAGCCTGTACATACTTATAGTCATAGAATACTCATAACATACTTCATACCCTGTACATTATAACATATGTAATAGATCCATTTCTGTAATATACTTACACATCTATATTATTACTAATATATATTGTAATACATCTATATCACGGCTAAAGCACTTCTGGATGGATGCAAACTGCATTTCGTTGCCCTGTACCTGTACATGTGCAATGACAATAAAGTTGAATTCTATACTGATATGAAGAGGTCATGGCTGATATGCGCTGATGATATTTTGGGTAAATCTTCATGGCCTATATTTAGACGTTTTCCACCTTAGTTTAATGCTAAATAGTCAGTAATAAAAACAGTGGTAGATGAACAACACTTCATTATAAGGTTCACATTATTAACGTTACTTAGTGCATTGTTAAGCATTAATAAACTAAGGGTCCCTTTATTAATGTTACTTAATGCATTATTAAGCATTAATAAACAAAGGGTGCCTTTATTAATGTTACTTAATGCATTATTAAGCATTAATAAACAAAGGGTCCCTTTATTAACTCTACCATTTTGGTAACTGTCAAGTGTTCTTAAGGACACAAAGGGGCAGGGGGAGGGTGTCTGCTAATGGATTGCATAATATGGTTAAGCAGTTGTTAATACTTTATTAATGCTTGAAAGTGTGACATTAACTTGTTAGCTTATTGATCCTTACACCAGTGTGTGAATGGGTGGATGACTGTGTTGCAAAGCACCTTGGGGGGGTTCCATGACTAGAAAGTGCAATATCAAATACATGCCATTGGCCATTTACTGTAAAGTGTCGCTGGCATTTCTAAACCTGTCACTTTTTGAGCACTGAATTTAACCAACTGGGCCTCACCACTACATATTTTAAATACAACGAAGGTTTCTAAAGACAAAAACATGGCTGCGCCATGGGCTCCCCCGTGTCACCTATTGTAGCCAACCTTTACATGGAGGAAGTGGAAAGAAAGGCTCTTGGCTCTTTTAAAGGGAGAGCACCCACCCACTGGTTCAGATATGTGGATGACACCTGGGTCAAAATCAAAACACAAGAAGTGGCATCCTTCACTACGCACATCAACGCTGTGGACAAAAACATCAAGTTCACCAGGGAAAACATAAAGGACAACTGCTTGCCTTTCCTGGACTGCGCTGTGCACTTTGAAGAAAATGGCAACCTCAACATCGAAGTGTACCGGAAGCCCACACACACGGACCAGTACCTCCTCTTCGACTCACATCACCCTCTGGAACACAAACTTGGAGTAATCAAGACCCTACACCACCGGGCAGAACATGTTCCCTCTAAAGGTTGGTTTATGCTTGACGCGTCCGCGAGGTCCGCACGGCTCCGCGCGGAAAAGTTGCGTCATTTTGCGTCATTTTAACAACCACGCCCCTCCACCGCGTCTCCGCACGGCCCAAGATTTCCGCAACGCGCACCTCGGAAAATTTCTAACCACGCGGACGGTCGGACGCGGAAAAACATGGCGGACCGGCACGGCAGAGGTTCGTAAATACAGACATTTGTATGATTCAGCTCTCAGAGATCATTGTGATCAACATGTTGTTAATAATTCTTGGAGAGAAATAGCTCGCACTGTCGGAAAAGACGAGAACGCTGTTAAAAATGCTGAAATGCCGTGTTGTAAACAGTAATTTCCTTGCTAAGCTCGGTGCTGACCAGGGAACCTGTTGGGAATTCAAAGACGAGTGGCTTCCACCCAAGGCCGTTCACGAGGTCTGTGCGATTACTCGTCGCCATGCTAAACAGGCAGACGAACCTCGGACCATTGAGGTACCTGTGTTTCTAGGCAGAAAACCACAGGACGCGGACCTAGTCACCATGCAGGAACAAGATCCTGACCTGAAGCTCATCCGCGAGCTTCTCCAAAAGGGCCCGATGCCTGAACAACCGTCACCACCTACTGGCGCAAGCCGAGATTTGGTAACCCTGCATCGTCAACTCGCGCACCTGAAACTACAAAACGATTTGTTAGTTTACATGCGTGACGATCACAGCCCGCCGCGCTGGGTTGTTCCACTCGACCACAGAGGAGTGATGCTTGCCTACGCCCACGACACTCCGGTTGGAGGTCACCGCGGAGCAAAAGCTACCCTTGCGTCACTGACAGAAGTAGCATATTGGCCGTCGATGTCCAAGGACGTACACAGCTATGTCCAAGGCTGCCTCATCTGTGCCCAGTTTCAACCCTCCCAGCCGCTTGCTAGAGCACCACTGCAACGCAGGGGAATAACCTTCCCTTGGTCCCACCTGCAGATCGACTGGGTTGGACCGGTTCCCAAATCGGCAAGAGGAAACAAATATATGCTAACTGTAACTTGCAGTTTCACAAAGTGGGTGGAATGCCTTCCAGCGCCAAACGATACAGCCGTCACAACCGCTGTACTGCTGATTAACCACGTTTTCAGTCGATGGGGACTTCCACTCTGCATTGACTCTGACCGGGGAACTCATTTCACATCCAGTGTCATGACGTCCCTGTTTGAACTTCTGGGAGTGGAAGTGAGATTCCACCTCCCCTATCACCCACAGTCATCCGGACAGGTCGAACGGATGAACTGCACGGTCATCTCCATGCTCAAAAAGTACGTCTGCTCCACTGGGAAGGACTGGGACGTCAAGCTCCCTCTGGTCCTGATGGCCATACGGTCTACTCCCCAGCGATCCACGGGGGTTACGCCCTTTGAGATGATGACCGGCAGACTGATGACTCTACCACTGCACCTCCTGTATCACCCAGAGGATGTCAGTGTTGCCACTGCCTATACCGCTCATCAGTATGTGGCAGACTTGAAAACACACCTCAGAGCTACGTTCGCGCACGC